AATCACCTGGGGAGTTTTCGGGAGTTCTAATACTCAGGCCATACCCCTAAAGTTTCAATTATAAGCTCTGGGGGTGGGACCCAGAATTCAGTATTTGTAATAGGCCTCCCCCAACATGGTTCCAACATGCACATAAGCTTGAGAGCCAGTGGCTTGTAACATTTTAAAATGTAATTGTATAGTGCTAAGAGCAGGCTGGCATTTTCTGGGGGCAGGAGTTAAAGGCAGTTGAGTCCACTGGGGCAATAAAATGTGAGATTTGGAAACACCCATGAACTCATGTGAACTGTGGCAGCCTCAGTCCACAAAAGCCTCTCTGCTGCTATTTTAAGGAAGTGAAAGAGAACTGAAGAGCGTCCTCTTGTAACACAACTCTTGTGGGCCCCAGCCTTCCTCTGCTGCTGGCCAGGTTCCTACAGTGACCACAAGTCTCATATTTGTCAGGGTGGCTTAAGTTCTGTTCACATGTAAAAAGTCTTCCGGGCCCACTGGTAATTTCAGACCACTGGGGTAAATTTGGTTTGAAAAAAGATGCTTCCTGTGGAGTTTGTCAACTCTCCAGTATATAGAGAACTGGAGGCCAGAGCTGTGGCAACTCCTGCCAGAGCTGGGGACTGTGCCAGAATCCCCGGTGTCGCTGCCATCTGAGGCCCACGGGCAATTTAATCAGCTGAACTGCGCAGCCAGCTCTTGGAGACCCAAGCAGGGCCACAACCTAGCAGTACAACTAAAAGGGATTCAGGCCACACACAAGGGGTAGGTCTCCAGGGCCTAGTCTTCCTCAATTTCAGAATCCATAACTGTGGTCAGACATCGTCAAAGTTTTTCTTGGATCTAAGGTACTGGACCTTGGTGCTGAGCACAGGTTAGTGCTTCTGTTTCTCAGCGGGTCGCGGCTGGAAAGCTTTTGTTTGGCGCCAACCACTAGAGGGACCTCCACCCCAGGTCTCAGAGTTCGAAAGCGGCGGGACCTAGGGTGCCTCCGGGCGTTCCATACTGGGGCTGAGGGGAGCCGCTCAGAGATTAGGAATGAGGCTGTCTTCAGACCAAACTCAGTTTCGAGGAGGTCGCACATGGGCTGCGGAAGTGTGGACGCTCCGAAGCGTTGTTGCGCTAGATGTGCCTCTAATACGGGTTTCCTATGCTTCTTTCCCATTTCGCAATTCTCGACACAAGTTTCCTTCTTCCTCGCTTTCAGTCCCAGAGGCCCGGGAACAGTGCGGAAAGGCTGGAGAAGCCCCAGGTACTGGAAACAAGAGAGATTGGAGCCACCAGACGTCTCCCTGCAGCCGGAAGGGTGCCGGACGCCGGGGAGATGAAACGAAGGGGCGGGGCTCTGGGGAGGGCGGGGTCTGTTTAGGGAGGCGGGACTAGCAGCGCGGCCCGGGGGCGGGGAAAAGGCAGGTTCGAAGGGCGGGAGGGTTGACCAGGCAGGTCCCTGAGGAACAGGAACAGTGGAGGACAAGTCCCAGCCCGCTGCGTTGGCGCCTGAGAAGGGGCGGTTCCTGGGGAAGGTCCTAGGGGTTAGAGAGTGAGCCCTCTAGGACTAGCCTCTTGCAGGTCCCCGCCCTCGTCACGTGGGCGCCGGACCGGGCTGCTGCTGGTCGGTCCGCTGGTTGGTCTGGCAGTTAGTTGATCGGTGGGCTGGTGGTCGGTAGCTTGTTTCTCGGCCCTCATGTTCAAAAGTGGGAGCGACACGGGAGCAGCCCGCACACCTGTGCCGCTCGGAGAGGAGCTGCCATCCCTCACTCAGGTCAGTGGGCTACCCCCACGCCGCGCCATCTGGACTGGGATTCCCGACAGGGGCTGTGCCAGATCCAAGAACCACACAGCCGTGGGGAGCAGTGCCTCTTTGGGTCCCAGAGCGTATTCAGGCGCGAGGACGGGGACCCTTCTCCCTTTTTCCGGCAAGAAGATTGGAAAGAGTATAAAACTGCGGATTTGCTTCAAGCCTCCACCCAACCCTGCCCAGGGTCCGCCGGCAGTTCTGCAGGTGCCAGGGTGATCCAGGAGATGCGCAGGGTGGTCAGTTACTTCAGAGTTATGTGCGGATCTGCCGTAGCTCTGCTCAGCCGCAGGAGCGGCTCCATAAACTAGGGAGTCCAAGCTGGAAACCGAAGCTTTAGTTCTGTTCTTACGGGTCAATCTTTGTTTAACAGAGCGTGTCCAGATGCGGCGCTTAGGCTAAAACCTGTTCTATACGTAATTGCGGAAATTCAACATGGTTTTCAAAATCTCAATCCACTGCGTCCCGTCCCAGTAGATTACAGGATGGAGATGATCATATCTGCAAAAAGTTCCTCTTTGCCTTATGACATCTGACTTCAGACCTGCAGTTTTTCCTCAAATGAAAATAAGATAGGTTTAAAGACCAGAACTTTAAAGGTTTGGGTAGGATTAAAACAAGCGTTCTAGGCCGTGTTTAATCCTCTTAAAAACAAATCTAATTAAGTTTACTTTTGGAGCAGCTGGGTATTTGGTATAAGATCTCTCTTTTTCCGTATTTTGCTCTTCTGCCTTTCTCTATCTCCTTTTTCAACCATTTCTTAGTTGATTATAAATACAAATCTGAAGCATTTCAAATTTTATGGTGTACTATGTGAAGTTAAATAACCACAGAAAAGTAGTTGGCTTGTAGGTATAATTCATGTTCAACATGTTCATTCTTTGATGATTATTGGTGTCTAGAAAACACTAAATGTTACCTGATTTAGAAGTCCTTTCTCTTGGGATTAAGAGATTTCAAGAAGGGATGATGTATGAGGATGAACCTCAATGGTCCTGGGTTTCCTCCAGACAGCAGGGTAGAGTGTGGCCTGGGCTGTAGAGCTGAGAGGGAAGTCAAGTGCGGACTGGCTGGGAGAAATGGTAAGTGGCCCAGTTTGGCTTCTGAGGTAAATGGCACACAATAAAACTGATGACAAGGATAGAGCATGGTCTACTGGCCATGGGCAAGAAGTCTGGACTTTGAAGCATGGGAGCCAATAATAGGTTTTAAGCAGATGATTGATGGTTTCTCAGACGTTGGCCCTCCCAACTCCCAGCCTGATACAGAAAAATTCTAGTAAATACTTTTGGAATGGTTGGTCTGACAACACTTTGGAGCAGGGCTTCTTCACACTGATAAACATGAGTGTCACCTGGGGATCTTGTTCAAATGCTGATTTGGATTGATTAGGTCAGGGGTGTGCCCTGACATTCTGCATTACTA